TGAGATTCATCTGCAGCAACGTCGTGATTAGCGTAGGCAGGCCATTGTTCCATGTCCATCTAGAGTCTTTGTCGATCATGCGAACGAATATCGGCAATTCCTGGCTACGCCATCCTACTCGTATTTCGATATAATCATTAAAATTGGTGGCTAGCGTCTGGACATATGCTTTCGTAAATATTCCTGGTTGCATATCAAGTGAACCGCTCAAGTTCGCCACCTGTGGTAACCAGGACACTTCGCCAGCGTCGAATTTGAAGCTATCGATGCCAAGTTTCTGAAGAAATTTCAATCGATCTACCCACCACTTTACTGCTTTTGGATTCGTGAAATCGATCGTGGCAGCTTCCGCTCCTGAATAAAGTAGCACATTTAAATGATTGAAATTCGAAGAATTTTTCGAATATCCCCAAGAAATATTAAGAAACAGTTATATAACTGTTATAAATTCTTATTAACAATGTAAATACAATATAACACGTGTATTATGTAACAGGTGTGTTATTAAGTGGGAAATTATATCTAATAGTTATATAACTGTCACTTGGTGTTTGTTGAGATGTTTACATTATCAGATACATTTTCATTAATTTTGCAATGCAATTTAGAAAAAAAATAAATTACCAAAATAAATTATTTAGCATTTAAAATTGAAACTTTAAAAAGCTGCGGAAAGAAAAGAGCAAAGGATTGCAGTGTTAATTAAGAAATATTCCATATAGCATCCTATGTCCAAAAAACATTAACAAGACATCCTGAAGATGTTTAATCGCCCAAAGATATCTTCTGGATACCTTTTGGACATCTTTAGATATGCATGCTATATGGGATCTTCTTTAAGTCGACTATGACCTCACCTTGCCACCACGACATTTCAACGCGTCCATCCAGATTTTTGGCAAAATAGTTGTTGCGCAATGCAAAAGAATATGCAGGTTCGCAGCCTCGATTGATGAACGGATGTATCCATAAAGTAACGCGAAAACCTTTCTGTTTTAATCGTTGCACCAGAGCAGTGACGTTGGGAAACTTGATCGGATCAAACACAGCGGAACCATAACAAGTTTCCCATTTGTCATCAATTTCAATTTGACTGTTGTTGAATTTATTGGCGATAATCTCGTCCGCATAAGTCTCCACAATTTTATCAGTTACGTTAGCCTTGTATCTGGCCCAAGTGGACCATATAGGATGTTGAATCATCCTTTTGTCAGGACGACCAGTCGGTTTACCCAAATGGGTTTTAACCATGTACTGATGAGCAGTTTTCGGATCCAGGAAGACACCTAGTTCATAATTTAGCTGGACGCTGTCACGATGTCGATATGGCGCCTTGTTCTTTGCGATGAGGCATAGATAATTGTCTCGATAATTATTCTGATCAAGGAACAGCGGATTTGTCTCGTTCACATAGATAGAGACTCCTTTGCTGGATAACCAGTAACGTTCGGACAGTGCCATGTTTGTAGGATGCGTTGGCAGATACGGCTCTTCCTCATAATACATGTGTTGTATGGGCCAATGTTGATAACGATGTTGCGGTCCACCGAACCATTGCGTACCTTCAGTAAATTGGTAACAATCGGCAAGCTCGGCGGTGGAATCTGCTACGCGAGTAATGTGGATGGTCTCGTGATCCTTACTTCCAATAATAACAGTATGCATAACATTAGCACTTTTTACGCAAAGTCTATTATTACCGCCACAATTCTGCTCAAACACGAAGGGACTCTCTTGAATTTGCGGTGAAGTCTTAGTGTGAAGAATGTTTATCATGTTCTCGCCGTCTGAAAGAAATATTGTATTTATTGATATAGTTTCTTCATTATGCTTTTTAAAATTTTTAAAATTAAATAATTAAGAATTAAAAAATTCAAAATTCAAAATTATAAAATTAAAATATTAAAAAATTAAATAACTAAAAAATTAAAAAGTTAAAAATTAAAAAATAATTGTCCCAATTTATAGAAAGAAATATTAAACATACACGTGTGAGATTGATAAGAATAAATAGAAGAATTCACTACACAAAATAATATAAAGGAAATAAAAAGCTATCTGCGTAATTCACCATTTTTTGTAAGATTGAGAAAGATGAGGCTTTTAATGATGGTTATTTCAAGAAGGCCATTTTTGATAGGAATTACTACTGACTGTACATTTTCGATTTCTTCGACATTGTCACCGCAAACAAACGCGCCGAGTGCGAACAACAGCAATATTATAGAAGAATGCATCTCTAAAACAAACGCAACAGATATTATTGAATATATATTTTTAAATAATGTAAATGTTATTTCTTTAAAACATATAAAAACATTAGATAAAGAAAATGGTATTTATTTGTACATTTTAAATATACGTCTTTTTTTCATCTATTTTAAAAACTACAAAAAAATTACTTACTGCTCCGTTCCAGTGGTTGCACCCTACACTATTCTAATGATGACTGAATCAGCGATGCTATTCGCATCAATTTATATATACTTGCTCAACACAATAACAAATACTGCATTCTGTTAATATTCCACATGAATTGTGAAAAACAATAATATCACATATTGAATTGATGATAAAAATGGGATATCAAATCACTATTTGATATAGATAGTTTCTGATATCCAATTTTTAATTATCAATATCTCTGCAATTGTTTGCGTAAATATTTTATGGGAATCTTTTTAAATATTATAGATGTTCGGTGCCATTTGCCTTTACTTCAGAATACACACTAGTAGGCAATTCCTTTTTGCACGTGCAAATTGTAAGTTATATAATTTGCTTGAATGACAAATTGCTCAATTAAAGTAAAAAAAAAAATATATATATATACATATATACATGTGTGTATAATTACACACACACACACACACACACACACACACACACACACACACACACACACACACACACACACACACACACACACACACACACACACATACACATATATATATATATATACACACCGTGGCCCATTTTAATCGACGCACCTGAATATCTCCGTTGGTAAGCCGAATACAAAAAAATTGTTCAGACAAAAGTTGTATGGCTTGAAGGGGGACATAAGATGGTATCATTGGGTTTATCTTGAAAAGTTGTTTGAAGGTCACATGAAGGCTACCTTCAATTTTTTTAATGGAATCTCCTATTTTTTATTACTTATTCTTATAGCTTATCTCGAGAGCTTTTCAAAACACTATAATAAAGTATAATAAAGTATTTCTTCATTGAGTACTTTTCGAGTTATGAGGCTTGAAATCATTTCTTAATTTTACATAAACCATAAAATATCTAGTAAAATATTCATTTTTCGATTATCCTACCTTAATACTTTTATGTACAAAATAATGAGAGGAATCAATTGCTATAAAGAAAACATACAGTTGTTTTTGAGAAAAAATATGTAATTTGCAATTAACAATTCCAAATATATATATGTATATATATATATATATATATATATATATATATATATATTTATATACCATATATATATGAAATTTTGCAATTATATACCTGGTTTTTTTTTAATTCGGGTTTTTAACACATCTTTTTCAAAAAATTTTCTAAAATAAACTTATGCAATACTGTCGTCTGTGTTACTTATCATTTGATATCAAATTAAGAAAATAGCTAGAAAATAAGTGTAAATAATTTTTGAAAATTATGTGAATCATGATGAATAACTTAATTAAAATTAAAAAAATATAATGCGATTATATGTATACAAGGTGTCTGATAATAACTGTATCACCTCTCGCATGCAGATAAAAGAGTTAAGCTGAATAGAAAAATCGTGTACCATTTTGCGATTTTCGCAATAATTAATGAAAAATAATTCAGAAAGATCTATTTGCGCGAATATTAGCACGTGGAAAAGAAAGAGTCTACTGTCATATATTATCAAGCACACGACGAAGCGCTGACGCTGAAAGGAATGCTATATATATATATATATATATATATATATATATATATATATATATATATATGGTGTCTCATTTTAACTTAGAAGATCCAATTTGTGCGAGTATTAATATGCAGTGAAAAAAGGTAACTTGTTATATGATTGCTAAGATATGAAGATTTAACGTTACGCACAACTCGTATGTAATAGTTATTATTATTTATAAAGCATTCCTTTCAGCGTCAGCGCTTCGTCGTGTGCTTGATAATATATGACAGTAGACTCTTTCTTTTCCACGTGCTAATATTCGCGCAAATAGATCTTTCTGAATTATTTTTCATTAATTATTGCGAAAATCGCAAAATGGTACACGATTTTTCTATTCAGCTTAACTCTTTTATCTGCATGCGAGAGGTGATACAGTTATTATCAGACACCTTGTATACATATAATTGCATTATATTTTTTTAATTTTAATTAAGTTATTCATCATCATTCACATAATTTTCAAAAATTATTTACACTTATTTTCTAGCTATTTTCTTAATTTGATATCAAATGATAAGTAACACAGACGACAGTATTGCATAAGTTTATTTTAGAAAATTTTTTGAAAAAGGTGTGTTAAAAACCCGAATTAAAAAAAACCAGGTATATAATTGCAAAATTTCATTTATATAAGATGCTATGGCACACCATATATAATAGAATATTATTTATTATTATTTATTACAAGAAAAGTATATAAAATAATGAATAGTAATATTACCTATCTAATTAATAGTAAACGTCTATTCTGATAGATAACATTACACAATTGTAATCTTTCAGTACATTAATTATTTGTGACGTACAATATACGATAAACATTTTATTCTATCAGTATTATTAATTACAATTGTCATATTTCTGATAAGCATATCAGATAAACTATCTGTTATCTATTTGTTATCTATTAATATATATCCATAAAATATTAAATGTTTAATAAATGTATATCCATAACGAATATTAAACATTTAATATGTAAGGAAAGGACAGATTTTAGATATAAGCGATTATAGATCAAATATTTATTAATATGTTAATTATTGATTTATATTGTTGATTTTATTTATTATCTATCATTTTAATTCGTCATTTACAGTAGAAATGATCATATTGTATTTTTTAGAAAATATGTAATAAAATTAATGAGGATATTTCAACAGCACATTTTTAATCGTGTAATGTCGTTTAACCAATCCTGAATTGAAGGCTGAAAAATAATTAATGTAATAATAATTAATACATCTGTTTATGATGATTATCTGGTTATGATGATTATTTTAGTATTGTAATAATAAAAAAAGTCATCGAGCTCATATAAAAGTATCCCAAAACTCATTCTTTCTTCCTACGATATTTAAGTTGAATATATATAGTAACTTTATTGTTTATATTGTCTTAATATTTTTACAAAAATAATTAAAGTGTAAGCAATATTATTGTTTTATTTCATGTACGAGGTTTTAATATGTATATATCTCTTCAGTTTCTTTGTAATAAAATATTTATTTATTTACAGCAGATTATATATTTTACAAACTTACAAAAGTTTCGAGTTTTAAATGTACCTATGTAGTCGATTGTGACATCATCGATGATAATCTTTTGTTTGGAACATTGATCGCACGTATAATACCTCTTCCCAAAACATAAAAGTCTTCGATCATTGCCGATATATTCAAAACAAGTTTACCATCGCTGTCGAGTTTCCTACAATTAACATCTGCCACTTTAAAATCCTTGCGCTCGAAAACAGCGGGTTTCAATAGAACCCCAATCACTGTACCACCATAAGTGTCATGGAAAAATAAGGCATAATCATCGTAACCATCCTGGAGAAATAAAAGAAAAACAGATGTAGAATACAAAAAAAGATTTAGATGTAGCAATAGCATCAATCATGATAATACAAATATATAATTTTTTATCTTTCTTTGTTTTTAAAGCGTGCATAAACTCGTTCATACAATTTAACAATACAATCGCTTGTTAATTATTTCAAATACTAACTCTTAGATCTTTCAGGAAACATTGCACAGGATCAAAGTCTGTGACTGGAATTTTTTGAAGTGAATGCGCTTTATACGGATGCAGATCAACGATTTCCACATTATTAGATACATCGACCGCCTGTAGTTTTCTAGGGTTCATATTTGACTTCAGATATAACAAACAGTCATATTCTTGTAGTGAAGGACGAAATATAGGTTTTATATCCATATTATCGAACAACAGATTGTCAAATAATCTTAATGATTCCTTCGCGAGTGCACTCATACGATTTAAAATCAACTGAGATGGTGCTCTCCTTGTCCACAAGGATTTCTGTTGATCATAAGGGGTAGATATGAATAAGGCTGGTAACGAAGCACGAGTTGTATTAAATAATGTTTCTACGGCGGAGATTTCTTCATCTGGAAAAAAAATTTAATATGATATATTAATATATTTATTATGTAAATAAGCTCAAAAGCAGTTAAACATAGATAAATTTGAAATAAAAGAGATTGTATTTCTGTTTATCTTTTTATATATCTGAATAGATATAATAAATAATAGAATAATAAATAGAATATATAATAAATAATATATAATAAATTATCTGGAGAAAAAAAGAAAAAAAAAAGATTTATCATTTATTTCAATAATTTCAGTAATTTAATTAATTATTTAAATAATTATTTTATAATGATTCATTTGCAAAAATTTTTACAGTAATGAAAAATTGGAAATATATCAAAACTTACTGGTCATTTCACCATTGAAATTAATGATGACAGGATCAGTATTCCAATGAGATCTTGAAACAACTTCTAGAAATCGTAAAAATGCCACTTGTGGCATCTGAGCTGATTTATAAGGTTCTGGCATTAGATATATCGATGCCATAAGCAATTCGACTACAACTTCCGGTACGTGAGTATCATCTAACAATTGTGCTGATAACCACCGTTTTGCTAAACGGCAAGCAGGACCGAATGACGGTTGTTGAGAATGCAATCTATGAAAATAAAAATTGAAGATATATATCACAGAATGTCTATTTCGAATCTTATAAAAAATTTGCTGAACAGTGTTATCCCTGATTTTTTAGATATTTTTGTTAAAAATTTGAAGTAAAAAGAAAGAATATCCTAAAGATTTCTTTAGTATAACTTTCTAAAATAAGTTTATTATTGTACATATTGTCTATAATTGCATGTATTTCAATTTGTACGAAGGAAAAACAAAATTCTAAGTTTCAAGTGCTAGATTTGTAAATATACCGAAAAAATTTGAACAACTTTTGTAAGATAAGCATTTTTCACATTCATAAAATTTTTACTTTTTTATCACTATAAATTAGACAGAACGTGTACTGCATATTCAATATCTTGTTAAGACATTAAATATAAACAAAAATATATAATTATAATATATTTTAAATATTTTTGGCTTGCCGACTATTTACAATGTGAAAATAAAAAGTTATTAAAGAGAGAATTTTTTTTAAAATTCTTTGAATTCTAATTTTAGGATTTTTCCAAATATAAAAGAAATCTCTAAAAATTCCATTTTTTTGTGTTTCTCCAAGGATAGACATTCTGAATATACTACACATTATTATTTTATTGTGATTTGTTGATCATATCTATCACATACAAATTATTATAATTATATCTTTTATTCAATTCTCAATTCTAAATTTTAAACTTTGTTGAGCTTTGTTGAGCAACACAGATTTTAAGTTTGTAAAAATATAATTTTTTCTGTCTAAAATTTTTTATATATTTCACTATTAATTATAACACCGAGCATTTCAAGGAATTCTAATTAATGTCTATTGAGAATTAAATCAAACAGTTGGTTTATCTAGAAAATAATGTTGTTTTCAGAAATAAGATATATTTCTCATGCATTTGTCTCAAATTATCCTAATAACGTAATTATTAAATATCATTCATTCTTACCCGTGCAAAGCACTGCTTAACTTTGGTAAATGGAATAATTTATTTTCCAACTTGATAGATTTTTCATTGTCTTTGTATTTAATTACTCCATCTTCTTTGATTTGTTTTAATAAAGCGATTTCCTTTTGATGCGCCACTCTTAATCGGAAAACGAATCCATCCTAATAAAAAGAAATTTGTTTATTTGCGAGAGAAAATGATAATATATATATATTATAAAAATAAAATACAAAACAAATAAAAAATAAAATATAAAAAGATTATGTATATAATATTATAAGATGTCACAATATACATTCATTTACTGAATAAAGTATATTGTGATAACACAATATTCTATTTAATCTATCTTATAATTAATTATTAATTATTATTATTATTATTTTATTATTATTAATATTATAATTATTATAATTTACTAATATAATATAATCTATATTTATTATTATTATATGAACCTGATACACATCGATATAAGAGGGATTGGCCTGTGCTTTTAGTTGATACTGCTTTCTAAGACATTCCGCGATTTGTATATGAAATGCTGCTTTCGTTTTTCTAAATGCTTCCAATTCCTCGGGCCACTTTCCACTGATCGATAATTGTAACGTCACGTCGAGCGCATGAACATATGCAGGACATTTTGTGATTTTTTTCGAAAGAATTAAACAATTTTTCTTCTCCTCGGTGATACCGGCAATGCTCCGATGAACAGTAGCAAGCGGTGGAAAAACTTCTGTGTATCGGAAAACTGGACTAGAGCCTTGAACACCGTTAATCGTCAGAGGCATATCATTCAGCAACATCAAATTTTTCTCCAAGACATTAAAAGCTTGTAGAGCTTTCAATGTAGCTTCTTCACCAGTGCCGTATACAAAATGTGTTATTTTGTACTAAAAAGTAAAATATAAATCATGAATAATTTGGAAATAATGATAACAATTCAGGAACAAACATATCAATCAAAGATGGAGTTATAAATTTAAACATAAATATTTCTATTTATAGATGAAATTAATTGTGAAATTACCTTGTGTAACTTCAGTAAATCTTCCATTTGATCCGCGATATACAAAAATTGATCTTTGAAGATATTAAACTTTGTTTTTAGCAAGAATGTTACTATCTTTTTGCATATTAATCTCTTTTGCGCAATAGATTTGCCTTTTGACCAAACGACAGCCTCACGAATGGAACTATCTTTAAATCTACGTAATTCAGACTTGTAGCCCCAAAAATCTCTAAAGTCAGCTGCCTGCAAAGCAAAATATAAACGAATCTGATGTTTGCCATATATGATAATTTATATTTATAATATAAGAAAATATTAATATTAATAAAAATATGATGTAAATATAAATTATGCAAATTAATAACATAAATTATATCAATAAAAATATTAATAAAATAATATAAAATTAATCTATAAATTAATATAAACATAATAGATTATTATTTTAAATGACGATTGTATTATAACTATTTCATTATTTTATTGTTTAAGGCATTTTAATTTTTACTTCTGGTAAATTTGCTTCAGGTCCTTTGTCCACGATACCAAAACAAAATTCAGGGTTTAATTCTAATCCAATACTAAGCTTTCCAGTATCGTCCGGGATATTTTGAGTACATTCCCATTCCTTAGGTACACTGGGTAATATGCACAATCGATTAATTCTATGTCCCAAACCTTTCTTTAAAACGTCAACAAGTAACTTAATCACCCGACTACGTTTATCAGGTCCATAATTGATTTTGTCATCAATATTTGATAATTCAAGGATTTTTTCTGAAAGTATCTTGTCCTGCAAACTACATATAGATATAAGTTTATTAAAATAAGTTTATTAAAATGGATTTGATAGTTCGTATACAATTTTTTTATACAAATTACCATAAGATTTGATCAAATGCTTTATGAAATGGTACACTTCGCATAAAAAGTGCTTGAAAACTGTCCACATGTATATTATCCAAATGATTTAAACAAAGCTCTGCTTCTCTTTGCACCCACGAAAAAGTATCCTTTGATAGATTTGCTGCAAAATTGTGATAGCCAGTACTATCAAGAAATACACAATCATAATAGTTGTGATAGTGAGAGACTTGTTTCTGATCGTCTTTGTCCTCGCACATAGTAATTCCATCCTTGCACCAATTTCCTTGTGCTATTTCAAATATATATAATTATCATTTAGAATATGATACAAAAAATATTGTTTACTTAGTTATGTAATAGTTTTTAAAATACCTAAGCCAATCCAGACGTTCCGTACAATCTGATAACTACTCATAAATGTATTAAGTTTTCTTATGCGCAGAAGATAAATTACAAACATTGTAATAATGTGGCCAGTAAAGCCATCATATCCTTTATTTAATTCGCGTTGGTGTAGCCATATTTTCAGCAAGATTATACCATCCCTCAAATTGGGATACTCTTTTATTACTTGCGCAACTTTGGAATTTATGCTTGACATTATTAAATCATGCAGTACTAGAGAATTATAGTGCGGAGTGGGTAATAGAGATGCTGTGGATAAGAAAAAGTATGAAAAGTAATATAAAATTATACAATAAATAATTTTCCATTCACATTGTAGACTTACCATCCTCCAAAGACTTCTCAAAATACCATGCTGGTCTAACATTATTTTTTTCTGGTAAAAATCTATTTAATTTGAAGCTAGATTCCTGTACTGATACATGTAGCACTACATCTACCTTCTTGTTCAATTTTCCACTAGGTCGAAGTTTTAAGGAAGGTCTTAAATTGTCACCGATGAAATTTTTGCTCTCTGCAAGATCACTCCCTATAATTGATGTTATAAACGCTAGATATGTTGCTTTCTTTCTAAAATATATATAATTTTGATAATCTTGTTTTCGGAATAAGCCAACTGGCATTTCTACCATTACATCCACAGTAACAGTAGGCCCGAAAATACATCCTGAATTATAAGATCCAATCACACTAATGTTGGATGGTTTTAGAAACTTAAAAACGCCTCTAGTATCTTCCGGTACATGTGGTACAGGAATAAAAACACTTAATTTATCACTCAAATTATTATTTACAAGCTGAAAAATTAATATATAACAAATTATTTCATATTTTATAGAACTATATATACATAAATATTATAATCAGGTTGTACTACTAACTGGAATTTCTTCAGTCTCTTCAATAGATTCAATTGTTGCTTTCAATTTTTTAAACCAAATTTCAAATAACGCTTTATATTTAGTTTTAAGCTTTACTTCACTGAGAACCTCTTCAATTTGAAGCCGAAATAAATTGGAATGAAATAAATTCTCAGTTTCTCTAAGCTGATTAAGTTCTTCAACCGTTGGCTGCTTATAAAGATCATTTTTAAATTTTTTCTTTTTAATTACTGCTTCAGTTAATTCATCCGTCACTTTTTTTCTCTTCTTCTTTCCATTCATTACTGGAGATTCAATCTTATGATCATTTAGCTGTACTTCTTCTACTTCTTCATCAGAAGGATCATTCTCATTGTATTTTGCCTCGCTCAACTAAAATTATTCAATTTATTTTATTAAATTTTTATTTCTTAGATTTTTCTCTTTCTAATGAGAACTACACAAATATAAGAACTACACAAAATACTCTCACAATCAAATAATTAATAGTTCAATAAATATAATATTTAAAATTTAAATCTACAAATTAAATAATAAAAAAAATTATATTAAGTTTCTTAGATTTTTCTCTTTCTAACGAGAACTACACAAAATACTTTCACAATCAAACAATTAATAGTTCAATATATTTAAAATTAAATCTACAAATTAAATAATAAAAAAAATTATATTAAGTTTCTTAGATTTTTCTCTTTCTAACGAGAACTACACAAAATACTCTCACAATCAAATAATTAATAGTTCAATAAATATATTTAAAATTTAAATCTACAAATTAAATAATAAAAAAATTATATTAAGTAAATATAAAAACATCGATTAACGTTTCTAATTAATGAAATAAAATTGAAAATACCTTAGAAAGCTCCTTCATTTTTTTAATGCTTTATATCTGCTGCTCGAAAAAATTACGTATCTTAACCATGTTTTCAATACTTGTCGCCATGTGGTTATGCCCGTGTGGAAATAAAGTCGTGCATGCGCACTAAGCAAACGCTACGAATTCTCAGTAACGTATGTATTTTGATGAAATATAGGGTACCGTCAGACTCCCCTCAGTTCGAAAAAAAATATTAAATTGCAAAGAGAGAAAAAAAATTCCTATCAAAGAAATTAAATACATTAAATATAATAATGCACTTTGTATATAACACATTACGCTATTGAAAAACGCGAGAAAACTATGTGGGAAGGAATCTTTTATGAGCCACCTTTTTGTTCCGTCTAGATGCATGTGTGGTATCAGCTATGACGTAGCTTACGCATGCGCGTAGAGGCTCTCACACACCTGGGAAAAAATCTCCCGACAGCGCATCGTTTCCGGGCCGGCTATAATGGCCACGTATAATGGGTACGTTTGAACGACGCACGACGAGTGAGTGCCTCAGTCAGTGGCACTCACTCGTCGTGCGTCGTTCAAATGTAGTTGTTGTGTTGGTCCTACGCTTGCTGCGTAGTTTGGCTCGCCGAGGAGATGGCCTGCTTATAAGTATAAAGGTAAGTCAACTGCAAATACTAAAAAATTTAAAATAAAGATATAAAAAGTATGAAACATTTAAAATAAAAATATAAAAAATATGAAAAATTTAAAATAAAAATATAAAAAATTTTAAATAAAAATATAAAAAATTTATAATATACGTGACGTACATTGTAAGATTACATTGTTTGATACTGGCAGTGAATACCGGCACCAAGTCATAGGCCGGTATTCATAGTCCGATCTTATATTTAAGATCGTCTTAAGTCTGGTCCGAGGTTGACTTAAGACCTCATTCAACCAATCAAATAGCTGCGTAGCATTTCAAGCTCGAACTTAAGACGATCTCAAATATAAGATCGGACTATGAATACCGGCCATAGTATACATGGCGCAGATATTTTTTTTTTATATTAGGTCTGTTCGTTTTAACTGCACTGCTGGACTAGTGCAATAAGTTAGAAAAAGACATACATACTTTCTTTCACTCTAACTAATTGCACTAGTGCAGCAGTGCAGCTAAAACGAACAGACCCCTTGGTTCTCGATCACACGCGATCTTTCGAGACTAACTTCACGCGTTTACATTTTATATTACGTTCTCGAATGGGTTCGTGCGCTTTGCGTTTCGGGATGAAACGTATAATACATAGTGCGCAATAACAAACATATCGTTTCTTCGTAATTCGAGGTAACGTGCCGGTATTGCCGGTGAGGAGCCGCTTTTATCAGGTAATTGAGGTTGCAAGTGCGTCTGATAGTGTATATAATATTTCGAGGAAACAGACTAAGCGATTTCTCGTAAGTCTTGTATCGTTGTTCGATTTATTATAAAAATTTTTAGAATTAATATAAAATTTATATTAGGCATTTTTTAGCAAGCAAGACTGGAGAGGTAAATAATGTATATTTTTCAGCAAGGAACACAGAGGACACAGTACAACACAATGAATGAAAAAGATGAAAACATTCTTGTCTACATTCTTGCTTTCTTGCTTAGATCCTTGTTTACATTTGGTAGACAAGGATAAAGTGATTCATTGTGTTACTGTGTCCTTTATGTTCGTTTATTATATTCGCTAAACGGAATAATTGAAATCGTTCAATCCATATATTTATATAATTTTATTGAATTTTAATAATATGTTTACTTTTTTGCAGTGGCACTTTTCTCAAAGGAGTCTCTCTCTATCGACTAGTTCCTACTCGCGGAAGTTAATTCTGATGAAGAGCCAAAAGCCATGGAAAAAACAAAGAGAACTGCGAGAGCTACGTCAATGAAAAAAATATTGAAAGTGCCGGTAAGTCGTAATACGTCTCATTTGAAATCTATATGAAATATTTTAAAACATTGCATATATATTTCATGTTTAGTGGATATATTTTATATATATATATGTATATATATATATATATATATATATATATATATATATATATGTGTGCCACTGTAAAAAAGTAAACATATTAAAATTCAATAAAATTATATAAACATACGGATTGAACGTTTGCAATTATTCCGTTTAGCGAATATAATAAACGCCGTTATCGTTAAAAATAATTTTGAATGGGAAGAAAGCCTGAAGCCAGCTGCTCTTTCCCCTCCGCAACGTGAACATCCCCGAAGGGATAATCCTACTGAAACCATGAAATTTCATAGAGATTCTGCCCCGAGTCAGACTAATGGAAAATCTTTGTTCGTGACATCGCTCTCATACAATAAAAGTATCGCAGGGCGATAGTATCTCCGTTTCATGGCCTAAAAAATTTTATACAGAAAAATTTTATACAGAATTAGGAGTTCCCTTTTTTTGAGGGTCTCCAGAGAAATATTTCGGATGGGGGAAAATGCACAGAAGAATATGTTTATTATCCTCGCATGCTTCCCACGGGAAAACACGGGAAGACCCATTAAGGATTTTTTAGCCGGTAACCTTTTGGCATAATCCCCGACCCCTCCCCGGGGATTGAGAATACCCATGAGGATTTTCCTGCACCGAAACAATAAATCTATCGTAGACGAGATTATCTTCCATAAAAAATTTTCACGACATTTTATAATACTCTCAGTATATGATCTAATGCTTCTAATTACGAAGCAATTGTATTTAAGAAAAATTTTGCATTAACATATTTTTGAAAATAATCATAATCATATTAATATATAAATTATTGAAGAGATATTATATATAAGAAATATGAATAAATTATATTTTGTTATATAATAATGGAAAGAGACTGCATATTTATTATTCTCGCATTACAATTTGGCATATTTTTTGGTCATATTTTCCAATGGCCATGATTTCAAATCTGAAAATGTGACCAAAAAATATGTCAAATTATAATATGATAACATATATATATATATATATATATATATATATATATATATATATATGTTATCATATTATAATTTGACATATTTTATATCTATTATATCTTATAGTTATTAGACTTTTTAATTTTATAATTATATATATATATATATATATATATATATATAATTATAAAATTAAAGTCTAATAACTATAAGATATAATAGAAGACAAAATATTGAATAGTATTAAACATTATTAAAACTATAATAAGCTAAATGCTAAAATATAATTTTCTTATTACAAGTTCCATCAAAGAAGTTTAATCTTTATATTTTTGTCAGCTGTAAAATGTAGAAAAACTGCCAAAAAATTATGAAATAATGAAAAAGAATGTAACAACATATAAAATGGTTTAGTCCAAATTTATTCGAAACATATTTCAATATTTATGAAAAAACATACATATATCTATGTTATTGCAAAATAATAAAAGAATACATTTTCTTATATAGTGTTATTTTACACATTTAACGTTTTTTGGTCAAAATTTGATTAAAATATAAATACGTTTGTGCAACTGTTAAAAAATATATTTTCTTATAAACTTTTCAATATATTACGCTTTTTATAATATTTGATAAAATATGCAATAAAACAAAAATAAAACTTATAATAACATAAATAAAAAGAAGACTAATAAAGTCTATTGGCCCTTAAATAAAACTAATTTTGTATTTTTCGATCTTATACGAGTTGTAGTATTTTCTAATGAATTTGTTTCATGATGTAAACGTATCTTAAAATATTGATGTAATATCAATCGTATGAGTTGATTACGATGATCAGCTAATGGCACATGATCATACATATGTTCATTATCTAAAAATAAGTTATTTATAGGAAGTAAATGAAGCGCACTAATATTCATTTGTTGCAAAATATTTGGAATATTTAAATTATGTTTATAATGGCGTACAATTGTTTCAGCTATTTTACAAATGTGTATAATATCCTTGGAAGCAGATATTAAATTTCCATAAGCCTTTCTACGTTAAAGCAACGATTCTGACTGTTGGTCTTTCTTAAGTATTAAATTATTTTTGCAAATATCACAACTAATTTTTTTATTAATTGTTTTAACAACAGCTCCACTGATATAACTGATAATATCGTCAAGATAATTATTAAAAGTCACATCAGAAATTGAAGTATAATCGTGATCAAAATAAGTTTGTCCTATGTTGTTTGTATCATTATTTTTATCTGACAAACATAAAATTTGATCTTTTAAAGTATCATTTTGGTTTAAATCTTTTAAAATGTTATCTTCTTGTAAAAGAAGTGTGTCATCTTTTGGTATGCAATTGGCTGTTAATGGTACGCTAATATCAATATGCGTTAAAAGCTTTTTATAAGCACTTTTGAATTGTCTAGCTGTAGGATTGTTGTTAATTCAACATAGATGTATAATTCTCGCCAGGTTCACGAGCCACAAGAATATTGTCGATTCACGTCGATGATACATGCAGCGTTCATCTTGTGCTCACAGTTGTCTTTCTGGAGCATCAATCCGATGTATGTGATATGCATGAAATTAAATGGCGTTTGATCCTCTATGGCTTTTCGGGGCAATATAGCCTAGTTTTTGTACCCATTGCCACGTACAGTAGAATGGCACTGGGCTGAATGTCATCCATTGTATACTGTAAGGGGATAACATGGTCTTATGCTACGCATATACGGTTAATTTGTCGTGAAAAAAATACATCACCAGTGATCACTACAATTTTCTCCAATAATTTGTAAGCTTTTATCGCTACGACTTGCTACAATTATGTGAAGCTAATTCGAATAACATACTTTGTGTTTCAAAATAAAAATTATCTTTTACGCATAAAAATCGATCCAGTGATTTATCGTTTGTTTTACTTTCTATAGATAATGCATTATCCTTTACTAAATATAAAGAAGCAATTAAATTATCTAAAAATTCTTTTTGTTCTGCTATATTGTCTTCAATTAATTTTTTTTTATTTTTCAAATAATTAGCAACGACGCAATCATATTGTTCTGCACTTAGGGCAGTAACAATAGTCTTTTGTTGATAAAATAGATTTGGAACATTTATTTTTATGCATGTTTTCGTCTTTTACACTGACGAAATTACACTGACAAAAGCTTAATTATTTTTTTTGCTGTTGTTGAACTTCCATTACATATCTTGGATTTCTAATTGGTACATGTCTATTATATCGATTATTCAAGATTGCTGGAAGCATGCAATCATAATAGAAACGTGTTGAAAAAGCATCATTTAATTATCCTTGATACATTCTCTCTATTAACACGTACTATTTTTTAACTTTTTAGTCTATACAGCGAAAATAATCTCGCTGCGTTATATTTAACTGGTTTTATTTGATAGAAAAATCGATGATTTTGATTCATCTTATTTGGATTTTCCTTATCAAAGTCTTTTAGTTGAGATATCTTTATGGTCTTTAAATTAAATTTCTTTTAATAATCAGAACGCACATGCAAATCATATTTGATGTAAGGCATTGTTGAAAGTACACGAATTTGGTCGTCTCTGAGTTTTTTTTTTAACCAACACACGAATTATGTTAGATAAAATATCGAAAGTCTTCGTAAAAGGCAAAGATTAAGGAAATAAATAATAATTAAAAATATACATAAAATAAAAATATAATTTCTTAGTATGTGAAAGGACGATGGCTAAAATAATCTGATTTTGTTATGATGGTACTTTTCTTATGCAAACAAGGATCAAATTGAATTAATTATAAAAGTAATAATTAAAACTATGTGTGATCGGTCCAAACGATAAATCAAACGCTGTAAGGAAGGTTTGTTTAGGACCAAAAAGGTTAAAACTTTTTTTATGTTCTTTTTTTCTACTACTTCCCATCCCCCTTTGCTCTCATTTTTGATCATCGTTTTCGCATTACTTCGAGGAGAATAGCATCATTGCTACACGATTAATGATCGCTGCTTCCGCTGCGGATGCTCGGATGTCCGCTTTGTGCGGACTTTGGACTCTCGGATGCGCACGCTTTGGAGACAAGAACTTCTGCTGCTTCCTCTGGGATCAAGATCAAGATCGATAGGAGACTCGGTGTCCGGTTAAAGGGGGACTCTTTGGTGAATCTTCCCAAATCCGGCACCTCAGCAACACTCGCGGGGGGAAGATGGGGGCCTTGAGTCGAACAAGAGTGGTGGCCCTTCCTTCCACCCGAAAAAGAGTGTAATAATAAACAGCAGACTCACCCTGTTGGGATCCTCATAAATGGGTCAACCTTCCCTGTCTCAAAGACAAGGAAGGACAAGAGAGAGAGATGTCTCTCTGACAAGGGTTGAAGAGATAGATTTCCCTCCTAAAAAGAGGGCGCAATCCGCCGCGGAACGCAGGGAAGGTTTTCAGTAAGTAGACTCGGATTTGCATAGCTAGGAAGTCCCGTATAATCATTGTTATGCATAAAACATTTTTCTTTCCCTATCCAAAGAAGATAAGCTAAGCTAATTTTTGTTAGAATAAATAATGTTAGGTTAAATGAGAATAGAAGAGATGGGATGGAACGTAATAGAAAGAGAAAGAATAAGATGTTGCATACTCTTGTTTTTGTTTCTACAAATTTTTACAAATCTGATAATCTGAATGTGATATTCCCAGGATATTATGAAATTAACGTTTGATAATAATTCAGCATATTAAAAGATAAAAAAAAACATACAAGAAAAATTGCATAACCACGGGCAAAGTCAGATTATTTTACTCCTATCATTCTTTTCTTTAACATTTCTTACATACTTGTCTATCTCAGCAAAAAGAAATAAACAAATAATATTACAATAATTAATGATGTGGTTTATGTCGAGGCTTTCGAACAATGCACTGTATATATATAACGCCCACATACACACACACGTAAAATAAATAGATGACGCAAATATAGTTCATAACAATAGAATAAATTTGAAAAAATTAACGTATCAAAAATATATATTTTAAAATAACATTTTTCATATTTAATATAATATAATATTAATATTTACATATATTTGGATAAAGAGTAAATCTTGTACATCCGTTTCACTTTTGCACTCATTCTCTCTGCCTACTTATTTTTTGCTTATTGATTGCATTTTCTTGCAATAATAACAGAAATTTTATTTATAGACCTCTAGATTTTAAATGTTCAACACGTAAATTAGTGTCATCCCAAATTTTTTGCCCAGAAGTATTTAATCCCCAAAAACTTACCTGTTTAAAAAAAGGTAAAAAAGGGCGCCAAGTTCATGCACTAATTGTATTCACTAATTGTATCCAACTGTCATATTGTCTACAAAAATAGTGATATCAAAAAATTGCGCCGACTAAGAATAAAAATTTGTACAAGATAAATAGTAAAAAAAGTTTTAATTAAAAAAACTTGGCGCTGCCAATTTTATTAATATATTGTTCAGCTAAAAAGTCTAAATTTACAAATCCAGAAGATCTTAAGAGAATTAATAATAAATGTCCAGCAATTATATTTGCTGTTAAACATATATTTAATTGGAATATATATATATATATATATATATATATATATATATATATGCCAATATATATATTCCAATTTTATTGGCAGCGCCAAGTTTTTTTAATTAAAATTTTTTTTACTATTTATCTTGTACAAATTTTTATTCTTAATTGGCGCAATTTTTTTATATCACTATTTTTGTAGAAAATTGACAGTTGGATACAATTAGTGCATGAACTTGGCGCCCTTTTTTTACCTTTTTTTAAAAAGGTAAGTTTTTGGGGATTATATCACTTTTTTTTTTAAATTTGCTAAAAGATATTATATTAAAAAAAGTATGTATATACATATATATATATATATATATATATATATATAGGTATATTCTTTTAATATATAAGCAAATTATATAAAAATATATATAGAATAAGTATATATAATATACATTATATATATATATATATATATATATATATATATATATATATATTATTTTTCTATTTTTATTTATTTTTCTGTAACATTTATGATTCAATCAATACCATACATATAATATTACATATAATATAATAACATATAACATATATAACATATAATAACAATCATAATAACAATCATAAATCACTATTCTTTTTAAACAAAATTCCCTAAAATATTATTTATGTATTATAATATTAACATAATTCCTCTGTTTTTTTCATGTGTTTCTTCAAATGTATTCCTTTGTTTTTTGCATTAGTCTGCTAATTCTATATTTAGCTATTTTTCATTATGAATAGAAGTTTTTATATTTAGATTTTGCGCTTTATCTTTTTAAATACCTAAATAATAGATATATTACAAGAAAAGAATCTCTCATTATCTTTAGAATAATCTATGAATCTGAGAGGAAAGGGATAGAAAATCAAAAAAGAGAATGGAGTTAAGAATAGCGTTCGTTTTTATTCTCCTCAGAAACGCGCATAAACATTGATACAATTGTACGAACACATGGAACTTAATTGTTGCGCTCAATGGAATATCATAAAATTTAAAACGCATGAAAATCACGGAATTCATGGAATATTTTAAAGTATTAAAAGTATTAAAAAAACTAGCTTATTCATTAATCTCAATCGTTGCGATCCATTATATAAAATAACAAGAATATACATAAAAAAATATTTTGACGAAAATTTACATTTTTTCCCCTCATATTACAAACAATTACAAATACTTGAATAATTTTGTATAATTATTTTTTATGCGCGAATAAATATCTAAAATTATTAGAATAATTTCTGTATGAAGTATCCGTCGCATTTAAATGCAAAAAAATGACGTGCGCGTGGATTTGTAATAGTTAAGACGATGTGATACGATTTTTGATTAATCTTCATGATTCTTACATTATGGTACTAATCGTGACTCGCTGAGCGCAAGCTTCGCTATAAAAAAATAATAAGCGCGCTTCCGCCCACGTGGCTTCCCAAAGGAGCCACGTTCCTTCTTCGTCACGTTTTTTATCTACAAATTTTCAGTATTGATTTGAATTAGAGAACCTCTAGGAGAGAGAATGGACAACTGATCAAGCTTTTTCATGATTGGCTGGCAGAAAATGTATCAATTTTAGCTATTGCGACGTGCAAAATATGATGACACACAAATAGGTTAATATAACCTATTTGTGTCATGATATTTTGCATTGGCGTCGCAATAGCTAAAATTGATACATTTTCTGCCAGCCAATCATGAAAAAGCTTGATCACATGTCACATGATCAGTTGTCCATTCTCTCTCCTAGAGGTTCTCTAATACCGGCCATTGACTCGACTTTATGTACCGATTTCGAAATCATAGTTTTTAGTGGAACGATTGAATCGAATTCACATACTCATTTCGAAATCAGTTGTTTCGATTGTTTGGATCGATTTCACGTATCGATTTCGGAATCATATACTTTTTTGCACACCCTTAGTAATAGATAATGCATTCAAATTAGAGAACCTCTAGGAGAGAGAATGGACAACTGATCATGTGACATGTGATCAAGTTTTTTCATGATTGGCTGGCAGAAAATGTATCAATTTTAGCTATTGCGACGCCAATGCAAAATATCATGACACAAATAGGTTATATTAACCTATTTGTGTGTCATCATATTTTGCATTGGCGTCGCAATAGCTAAAATTGATACATTTTCTGCCAGCCAATCATGAAAAAGCTTGATCAGTTGTCCATTCTCTCTCTTAGAGGTTCTCTAGCCGGTATTCATAGTCCGATCTTATATTTGAGATCGTCTTAAGTTCGAGCTTGACATGCTACGCAGCTATTTGATTGGTTGAAGGAGGTCTTAAGTCAACCTCTGACCAGACTTAAGACGATCTTAAATATAAGATCGGACTATGAATACCGGCCAATATATGCATTAA